AGTGATCCAAAGATACCCATTGTCATCTAATAAAAGTATAATTTTCAGATAGAAGGAAAGTTTTATGTATTCCTTAATTTGAAAGAGGTGGCACACTTGTACAACATATCAAATACAGATCAATTAATTCCATTAGCCTTAATGCTGGATCAAGCATATTTAACTGAGATGGGAATCTCTAAATATACCTGCAAAAGGCATAATAGACAACACTTACTGGTTTTTAACTTACATAAACTACCAACATTTTAAATTAATTTATATTATGTGTATTTTATTTTTCCCTAACCCTAATCTCCATGTATTTCTATGTACCACATGTATGCCTGGTGCCCACAGAGGTCACAAGAGAGCATAAGTTACCCTGGAACTGGAGTTACAGTTGTTGTGAAGCACCATTGTTCTGACAATGGAACCCAGGTTCTCTGATAAAGCAACAAGTGTTTTAAACCACTGAGCCATTTCTCCAGACTTCATCATTATTTTCTTTTTTATATGGTTACCACATGGTACAATGCACATATGTATGTATGTATGTATGTATGTGTATATATGTATGTATGTGTATGTATATATACATACATATATATATTTCTCCAGACTTCATCATTATTTTCTTTTTTTGTATAGTTACCACATGGTACAATGTATGTATGTATGTATGTATGTGTATATATGTATGTATGTGTATGTATATATATATAAATATATATATTTCTCCAGACTTCATCATTATTTTCTTTTTTTGTATAGTTACCACATGGTACAATGTATGTATGTATGTATGTATGTGTATATATGTATGTATGTGTATGTATATATACATACATATATATATTTCTCCAGACTTCATCATTATTTTCTTTTTTTGTATAGTTACCACATGGTACAATGTATGTATGTATGTATGTATGTGTATATATGTATGTATGTGTATGTATATATATATAATGAATAAGAAAAAAACTTTACCGAGAAATGTGACTTATCCATGGCCATAAAAGCAATAATGTGGTAAGAATTAAATTCTGTTACTTTGTCTGTACAGCTGTGCTAATGAGACACTCACAGGATATGGATCATATATAGTTCATCTTTCTAAATAAAAATGTGCACAGGAAGAAGAAATTTAATTTCATATAGCAACTAGTATCAACAAATTGTAGATACTAGATTATATTTAACTGTGTGAATCTCAAAATGGTTTCACACATTTTATAGGTAATTTCAATTACTCAAAGTAAAGGATCCTTCTGTTCCTACTGATAATTAGGTGGAAAAGTTTCTGGGATATATTTCACTTAATTTTGAATAAAGTACTTTGGCGTCAACTTTGGATATATTAGAATTAAAGAATCCCATCTTTTTCTCAAGGTAACTTGGCTTTTATATTCCTTGTTAGTTCACTATAAAACTTTGTATAAATCAGAGAAACTTGAGGACTGGGATTCGTAAGCTGATGATTCTATAAGAATATAAAAGGTAAGAATGAAATACAAGAGTCGCCATGACTAACCTAAATTTTAGTTGTAGTTCCAGAAGTACAATTTTGTTCATTAAATGTAATGCTTTAATACAACATATAATGTCAGATTGTCTGTTTTTATATCTAGGTTCTTTTAATAAGAAAAATGTATGACTTTGAGAAGTTAGAATATAAAGGAACTGCTTATTGTGTTAACTAAAATGTTACAGTTCAAGAAATACATTCAATCAAACACTACAGTAAAAATGATTAAGTTGCATATTATTATTCATTCACAGCTATGACCATTTTCTACATAATGCTGAGGATAAGTATCCACTATTAGAGCACAGGAAAGTGGTATTTATTCTGTGATCTACTTCTAAACAAAAATCCTAATAACACTTATCTATTGTATACATAATAATATACATAAGTACAGTAACCCTCAAATTTTGTAGTGATGAATACCCAGAAACACTTATAATGTACATTAAAAGTTTATCTAGTAAATATAAGATTCAATTCTTTATCTCTCAAATACTTTTCACTTCCAAGGAGAACAACTGAGAACTAATTAACTGAGAAGTTATTAACAGAAAAATAAATGAAAACAAATGTACTAGCTAAATATTTATGCTTACTTCACACACATACACACACACACACACTTC